ACTCTGCTTCAAAACTACAAGGTGAGCTTGAAAAAATCGGCGTAAAGGTCCTTGTTTCATATGAGCGTCACAATAGGTTTGCCGCAATTTTTGTCTCATCCAGTAAGGTGGAGGGGGCATTGCGATTCAGGTCTGTGCAAAGCGATGGGATACCCGACAGGAGGCCCGTCTGCGCGGCAAGAAGGCAGAGTCGTAGCGCGTGATGTGCAATGTAGGACGTACAATGGTACATTCTATTTAACTTGACGCGAAATCACTACAGTACGCGCTGACTCGTCCGCTGACTCTGCCTTCTTGCCGCGCGACGGGCCTCCTGTCTACCCAAAGCGATGCCCTCACCTCTACCGGATGAGACCCAACAATTTTTCTGACATCTTCGTGATTTCTTCAGTTGATCCCAAGCATTTTGACTCCGATAATCCACCTAGGACAATGGGATACTTCCAGCTCAAGAACGATGATCTTATTGGTTTTATTCAGATTTTGCCGGCTAAGAAACTTGAGAGTGATGAGCCTGTTTTCGGCACCGGGCTGCCTCCGACACAGCCGCTGCGGCTGGTCCCTATCGACCACTAACCGGACTGTTCCCAGCCACTTATATTTTTTTCCTTGTTAGGCAATGCATTTTTCTTTCAATTATGTGTATATATCATGTAATTATGATCTGTGAAGCTTTGTTCATTATTGACTGCAAGATGAAATTTCATCCAATTGGCCTGATGTTTAGATGGACCAGCGCAACATTTGGTAGTTGCTCGAAGTGGGCGCTAACCATAGCTGAAACGCATCTCAAAATCGTATTTGCCGGTGTTAATCCTATTTTGCCCCGAGGCGCAAAGGCTGTATTGAAATATAAAAAAAATTCCACAACTGCAGGAGTGTATGATTATAATGAACACTGACACAGTGGAGGGGGGAGAAGGGGAAAAAAGTCACTTTGCCTATGGCGCACATCATCAAACTTTTCGTCGCACAGGATGCCGCTGTTGATGAAAGTTTTACGGCAAAATATTCCTTAGATGTCCCCCCATAAGCAGAAGCAGGCCCTCCTTCACTGCCCTCACCGTCTTCAGAATATGACGTCATCTGCCATCACCGTCGAGCTCAAGGAGGCTTACCGTAATCGCTCCGGCCTGAAGCTGCTACATAATTTCTTCAATCGATTAACTGGTGAATAGCTTCTTAGAGACACTAGCTGTGACTATGCAAGACCGCTTTTGACCAGCGTTTCAGGGACGTCGTAATGGTCTATGGTACCTCGACGACCTCGTTGAGCTCGTACCGTGAACCATGTTTCCGTGGGAAAATCTTCTGATGTCGTCGGTGTAGAAGGCTGTTGTGTAGATTTCCGATATTCAAAGTGCTCCACAGTTTTCAGTTGGGCTCCAGTTAAGCTCATTCGATGAATTTTGAAAAAGTAACCAATTCCAATGTGGAGGGAGTGGCTTTTTGCACCCCCTGGATATAAGGCCGACGGGTGTCCCCCAAGAGGCCCGCAGACGCGGCAAAGGACGAGTCGCAGCGCATACTGTAGCGGTTAGGCGTCAGGTTAAATAGAGTGTACCATACTACGTCTCATATCGCACAGCACGCGCTGCGACTCGTCCTTTGCCGCATCTGCGTCTCTTCCTTCGCGCGTGGGCCTCTTGGGGGACACCCAAGGCCGACAAGAAAGCGACACTTGCATAGAAAGGCTGTAATACACAGGCGACTCGAGCAATTCCCCGAATAGACAGAAAGACTCCTCCAGATTGTCCGCCAATCCTTGATAATATCCGAATTCATGGGGTGAATATCCGGAAGAGATTTATCGACGCGAAATGCAAGGGTCCATGGTTTCTCGTGTTTATTTACTTCGTGTACAAAGAACTCAGTCCATTTACGGCAATAGGACGCTATCAGTACAAGGTACTTTTGACTACACTGTGAAAATAATCGGAAAGGAAAACAAGAACGGAAAGAAAAAATGAACAACGACATGGTAGGCTGGGTTGAGGAAAGGGCATGAGCTTTGCGCTAGCTTTGAGATCAGTTGAAAAAACTGCTAAATAACATCATTCATGCACTCTAAAATTTCTAGTTCTATATAAAGAAGGAGAAAATTAGGCGCTGCACTTAGAGAAAGTCTGTCACCTTTTATCACGATGGATGCCTTGGCTGTTGGTAGTTCCATATCCTTTACCGTGCGCTTGGTAAAGAATGTCACTTACCATAACTATTTATGCCTTGTAACTGTACATGCCGCCTTAATATCCAATGCAGTTACTGTTAATTTGCCTGTGTCTACGACAGTGATTACCCATAGAACTTTGTAGTGGGCGATTTCTGGCCACGTTCTTGTTATTGCGCCATTGTGTAGCGACATCACAGGATCCTACAACTGGTGCACAAACTACACCAAACAGCGCCTCCGTATATAAAGACGCTTATCCCGTCTCTCTATCAATCAGGAAATGTTCTTTCTATTATTACTCCTCTCCTTATCAACAGCTGTAGTAATCTATGTTTGGCGATTCTATGAGAACACCAAACGCTATCCAAAAGGACCACGTCCCTACCCTGTCGTGGGAAATCTGCTTTCGGTACGTCTCTAGAAATTCTTACAGTTTAACCATTGTCCATTTCTATCGTGTTTTTTTGTTCCTTTTGATTAGAACCATATGTGAGTCTTTCGCAGCTTTCTTGTTATTTGGTAAAATTCTGATGGAACCAGATTGGTCTCCCGTCAGCCGCCGAGACCTTCCTTCCCCGTCAGCTTCACGTCTTTCTCTATGGATCCTTCGATTTGTGACACCACCATCTTGTGAAGGTGACGCGTATGAAACAAAAAAGGAGTTTCATGTAGTGGAAAGCATCGCCATATACCCCATAAATGCACTGAGGCTCTTTCCCAACTCCCCGCCTATCCCTATCTTGTCTCCTTCCACTGCCTCCAGCTTGCCCTGCACACGCATGTAGACTGCTACCGGTGTGAGTGTGTTCAATAGTGTTTCATATAGCCGTAGAAGGCGTTATCTGTTAACGCATCATTCGTTAGTCAAAAACATTGATAGCTCAAGTCCTGCGAGCTACTCAAATTTGTTAGCGGCTTGTTTACCCTATTAGCGTACACATACATACATGCATACATACATACATATCATACCCATCCGACACACTAAGTTCAGCAGTGTTTATAAATATAATGGATAAGTGCGTCCTGTATTTCTTGTATAATGCCAACCTAGATAAGAAAGATTGCAATGGAGTTGTCCCCCCGCCGGCCCAATGAGAGTAACAAGACGAGTACGCCAAGGCCACTTTACGTAACTACAGCGTATACTGGGTCACATCAACAGTTTGCATGAGTGAACATTGGATAGGAATCGGCGGCAGAACATATACTTGCCGTCTTAAGAAGTGTCTAAAGCAGAAGCAACGCTCTTTAATGTGTGCAAGAATCTCATATGCTTTATAGCCCTTTCGCCATTTCCTTTTCCTTTCCTGTCTATAACCATTGTATCAAAGCTTTATTTAGTTCAAGAATTATGTCGCTGACTTAGCTGAGGTTGTTCGCCCATACGCAACGAAGATATGAGAAATTCCAAGGATTTATGGTAGCGCATTTCACTGTATGGTTACCTCAGACCATATGGTTATCACTGACTACGAACTTGTCAAAGAAGCGTTTGCGAAAAAAGGTGAGGTTCTTTTCTGCTCTAGGCTAGAAGTGACAAACTTTGAAACCTTTCCTACTTATCCAGCACAATGTCTTCAAAATCTGGGACGGTAGCAAACCTTCATTAATTCAGGCTTAACGTGTCGAGATTAGCTCAGACCAAAGTCAGTTTAGATAACTGGTTCAGAGCGCTTCTCAACACATTAACACGTTGACGACATTGTGCAGCGCATGCGCATCACACCTTGAGCACCGTGTGGGACCGTGTGCAGCGCATGCGCTGCACACACAAAATATTTATTTTTTTCGCGCATGCGCTACTTCTTTTCTAATTTTTTGCATCTATTCCTATAGACTACACCATAATATGACTAGACACGGCGAGGTTCATTGAATGGTTGAATATGCTTTTTAGCGAAGGTTTTCTAAGCCCTACGAATTTCCCAATTGTGTTCATTCCTAGTTTCCTTTATATTCTGATAATCTTGGTCAAAAAAGAGCAGTAGAAGTAAGTACAGACCCACACATATAGCAAGACATATGTTTTTAGTGGAGCAACCGCGTCAAAAATAATTTTGAGGTTCACTGCAGCAAAAGCAACTGAAACTTGCCTTTCATCGCCAGAAAACGTCAATTCGATCGATTTTTTACAGTTGTCCCTTCTGATAAGTTTGACACATCGAATATCATTCTAAACATTTTGTTGCATCCGAGTTTTGGGTATTTAAAGCTCAAAATTCACGGATTTGATGTGAGGCGGCGGCGCCTGCAAAATCGCCGTGGTCCCACGCGGTGCAAAAACCCAAAACGCGCGTTGTCGTCAACGTGTTAAGTCTTGTTTAACCTACAGTTAGATCATAACCAAAAAAACCAATTTGACTTGAAGTTAGACAGTTAACTTGTAAACCTAATTCCTAACTAATCAGAGAAAAAAATACTGTGGGGTTAAAGAGACGCAGAGGCCACGTTGATCCTTCACTAAAAAGTACTCCGAAGCACTTTTCACTGGAGGGTCATACGTGTCAGACGTGGTGACTGCGCCTCCTCAATCCCGTGCTCTTTTTTCTTCTCTGACCAGCTCAACCTGTTAGGAATCAAAGAATGCAGCTGCGATCCATAATCTTCAGGTACTTTTGCAACCTTTTTTTTCTTATTTATTCGTTTCCTGATATTTTGTCGTCTGAAATCTAAAGTAGGAAGCTCTTGCTTGATCTGGGCTGGATCGCACTCTCCATTCTTTATTCTTTGCTTAGAATCTCCGATCGTTACTTCTGATTGCGAGTTAAGGGTACTTTGCTACCGTCCCTGTTGATTTTTCCAAGAGTAATGCGAAAATAACGGTTGAAAAATCAGGAATGACTATGGAGGATCTAAAGGGAGAGGGGAGACTTACAGCAGAATGTTATCGAAATATTCCTCATTTACTATGAATGAACTTTAGTCCGCATACCTCACCGTATTCAGGATATGTAGCCAAACACTATCGCTTTTCGAGCTTAAAATGGGAAGACATTAGTTATCGTCAAAGCAGCGATTACGATAAATTCTAAAAGGTTTAGAGGGGACGTGGGGTGCTCAATAGTACGCCAATGGCGAAAAAAGCAAAGAAATCCGTCGAAAATAAGCAAAATAGTACCCCTTTGATTGCCCTTTCATTTTCGACCATGGATGAGCGACGACAAAGAAAGAGTTGTTCGGACGTGTTAACCCCGATAGCCGCCATCATGCCAACAAGCATAGTGTTTTGATTGATAAGGCATTACATGGGCAAGTTGGAAGATACAGCCGCTAAAGGGAAATGATCTTCCAAAATGAAAAGCCAACAGCAAACAGCTCGCCCAAGTCATCAACTGAACTAGTGGGCGTAACGCTTTCGGGGCGGAGTGCTTCGGAAGTCCTGCTCAGCAACCAGGGCACCTTTCGCCACACTTCGCTTCCTTGGCAGCCAAGTAACTGCTTCGTGTGGCGCATATACTCCCCGATGCGACCTTCCTTATCGTAATCGCTTCCTTTTAAACCTGGAGCTGCTAAATAATTTCTTTTCATTCGATCACTTTACTGGTGGATAATTTACTGGAGACAATAGCTTTGAGTGTGCATACCCATCGCCTAGCTTTCAAGATGTCTTTATGGTCCAAAGTCCGTCGAGGACTCTTTAACACATTCACGACGACGCCCCTTTTCCACTTTTCGGTCGCGTGGGACGGACGCGATTTTGTGGGCGCCGCCGCCTCACCACATAACCGCAGATTTTGTTTTGTAAATGAACAAAAACATGAATGTCACAAAATAATTTCTGCAATGTCCAATGCGTAAAGATTATCTAAACATATAACAGTAGGATTTCGATCAGAACGACAAATAGTGGTTACGAAAAGAGAGCATTTATTCACTTTCCCCGTGAAGGAATTTAAAAGCATTTTACACTCGATACG